CTTGACAACCGAGACAGCCCAGCAACAAACAAACTAATTATATTCCTCATGTCCGCAACCATCTCCGGAGCATAGCGGGATAGTTGGGTGAACTTCAAACTATACTCATGAACACTCAAAGACTCCTGGTTAAGTGTGAGGAACTCACGTACCTTGGCCTCTCTCAATTCTCGAGGAAAGAAATTCCCCAAGAAAGCTTCCTCAAAACAGGCCCAACTCGCAGGTGGTGCATTCTCAATTCTGCCCCCTTTCCACTGGTCGAACCAAGCTCTAGCAGTATCCTTCAATTGATACGCAGCTAGTTCAACCCGCTCAGTATCTGCCACATGCATCACATCAAAAATCTTCTTCAACTCCTCAATGAAGTGCTCTGGATCCTCAGTAGTGCTCGAACCTACGAAATTCGGAGGATTCATCCCTAAGAACCCACAAATCCTTGAAGTGTCAGCTCCCTCATGTCTAGCTCCCCTTTGCTGACCAAATATCTGATTAGTTACAGCTTGACTCAACATTCTAATTGCCTCTTTGAATTCGGCATTAGAAACTTCCCCTTGATGTTGCACTACAAAGTACTATGATTTAGAATATTAGCTAATTAATCTTGGTGAGATCTAAGAATATACCTCTGATATTGTGAAGCTAGAGCAACGCTATTTGTTGTGTCTGAAGCCAACAAAATTAATTCACTCTCTTTAAAAAAAAAGTTGACAAGAATAAAACAATATAATTATAATTTCAAATAATTGGGCATTTCATTAAATTTTCACAAAAAAAACTAAAAACCAAAATGTTTTGAGAAAGTATGTACCTCGTTCCAAAGCCTACATGACAACTTTGTACTCGTTGCAATCTTCTCAATTCCCTGAATGATGGTATCTTTAGTTAATTCATTATATAAATGTAAATCATTACTACAATCATGATTATCAGTGAATAGGGTTAATTTACCAAGTTTGTCACTCCCCGAGCCTACACCCTGGGTGTGACCAGCACTCGGAGACCATTGCTGGCCCCAAACGAACCCTTGGCCTGGCTTTCTTAACTCAGCGGAAACTTAACTCAACAGTACAACTCAATGCAATGAAAGGTTATAAAACCACCAACTGATGTATAACATGCCAAAAGGCAGCTCAAGTCTCAAAATAGAATATTTTCATAAATACAAAGATAAGAGACTCAATACTAACTGACTGGCTGTCTATAAAGCCTCTAACATACTGAGATGGATGTGGACAGACCCCGAACAATACCTAATAACAACAAAACTAAAAGGAACAAAATATCTGAGTCCTTCGGAAAGCAAGGAGGCTCACCACTGATTCTGGAGTGCTTAGTTGGATCAACGGCGTACAAGATGCTGATTCGAGGTACCGGTGTCTGCATCGTCATAAGATGCAGGCCAACTGGCATCAGTACATTGAATGTACGAGTATGCGAGCTGGAAAGCTAAACCACAACTTAAGCTTGAAAAGAGTACAAGAGAACACTTACCTTGGCTCTGTTCAACTCATGAATAACTGAACTCAATATATAAAGCAATAAGACACATGCAATATATAAAGCTTGTAAAACTCTTAAAACATGACGTAAAAATCATATTTATAATATCATGAAAATACCATGCTTCCTCTCAAGGTCTACTTGTGCAATGTATGAAATGAAGTCCCATACCCCCATCCACACTAAGCAGAACCCTCGAGGAACCAAGTTCTTTTTACTGTGGGAGCTTCTCTAACTAACAAACCACCACTATGAATCTGAGTGGTGATACAACGTTTTACCTCACGTTGCCCGAGGACCATCCTATACCTTGCCGTGATATAGGAAGCTAACTTTACTAAGTGGATCCACTAGCTTAACTTTACAGGTTCATCTAAAAAGTATGACCCGTTAACTCCCATGTTGGCTACATGGTTCTTATGGAGAGTTGAGTTAATATGAACTCGCGTCCCCAATTCGGTGCTCGATACTACTCCCAAAATACTTTAGCTCATAAGTGTTTTAAACACATCTTTCTTTAATTGAGATAATTACTCAAAATCTAGCCCAAAGGCTTACTTGGAAACGATGTTCCTATTTCTTGAAAACTAGTCCTAAGGCTCTTTTGGAAATCATATTCCCTTTCTTACTCAAATGTAAAAACATTTAGAAACTTCTTTGGGAATACATAGTTTCCTAATAGCTTTTGAGAAATGAACTCAACTTGAAACTCTTGTCTTGACTAGAAACTTAAGACTCTTTACTTAGCTTGAAACTCTAAGCTCTTTGCTTGACTTGAAACTTTAGTCTTGAAATGAAGTGAAAATGGTCAATAAAGACTCTTGAACGACTTTGAAACTTGCTTGAACTAACTTATTAACTTTGCTTGACTTCTAACTTCACTTGACTTCTAACTTTCCTTGAATTGAATTATGAATTCAAGGTGTTTGATCACATGTTACGGATGAGTTCGGGAGGCTTAAATGTACCTTAGAGTGTTGGAAACAACCATAAAACATTGGTACAATACCAAGGAACATGCATGGGAAGGTATGAAATGAAAGGGGACACTTGGTGTCCTTGGCGCTCTGCAAGGCGCGGAGCGCCAGCCCTTGAAATTCAGAAGGGTCATGCTGGCGCTCTGCTAGGCGCGGCGCCCAAAGGGGGAAAATTCAGAACCCCTTTTGGGGCGCGCTGGCAGGCACGACGCGCCAACCCCTCGCCCATAAAACTCGACTTTTTCTCCCTCTTTTTCCAACTCTAAACCACCCTAACTCCAAAGGTTTCAACCCCAAACACTGAGGATCATCATATCCCCCAACATACCATGGATTACAACTCAATACACAACCGGAAACAAGTCCCAAATCAACAAGAATCTCAACATCACAATCAACAACAATACCAACACAACCCAACAACTTCAACAACATAACCAATCCTTTCTTAATAAATAAAAGGGGCTTGGTGTGTGGGGGAAAGGATAAACCCACACTAATTACTCACATACGTAGTAGGGATCACCCCTGACGATTTCCACGACGATCTTGGACGGAAACTCCTTGATCTCCTCTTCTTCTTCTCTTCTTCACTCTCAAGCCCTAGCTCTCACTCTTTTAAAATGGGATGAAAATGATCCACAATAAGTCTAACACAACAATATAACCTCAAGAGAAATGTCTAGGGAAAAGACCAAAATGCCCTTAAAATTTCCGGACGGATTCCCTGCCAACTGCCCAACTTTAAAAGGTCATAACTCACTCATACGAACTCGGAATCGAGCAAATTCGGTGGCGTTGAAAAGACCATTCCATGAGCTATGCAACCATAACCAGAACTACACCCAAATCATCCTAACCTAGAAGTTATGGCTGTTCTAAGTTAGCCAAAAACTCAGCTTTTCAATACTTAGCGAAAATTTTTCAGATTTTCAAATTCTTTCCAAAAATGAAAATTTTCAAATTTTAAGCCTCTTCTTAGTTATTTCAATTTGCCTGATGTTACAGAAAGTCTGGGAGGGAGCTACCAACTATGTTGCTCAGACTCTTCAATAATAAAAAAGTCTAAATAATTGAAAAGCTTAAGAGTGTGGAAGCAATTTCAGAAGCAATGGCACAAGAAGGAAAGAGGGATATACCGTTCCAAGTTCCCAATGAGAGTGAAGATAATCACTTGGAATGTGAGAGGCCTCAACCAGGCAAACAAGAGGTGTGTTATCAAGAATCTAATTCATGAATGGAAAGCAGATGTGTATTGCTTCCAAGACACTAAGATTGAGGGGGATATCAGTAACATTGTAAAAGATTTGTGGGCTAATAGAGGAGTAAAGTTCTGTCAACTTGAAGCTAGTGGGACTAGAGGGGGAATTCTAATTCTATGGGATGGGAAAGTCTGGGAGGGAGCCATCGCCTACCAGCAGTGTAGGAGCCTATTCTATATCTTTCCAGTTTACAGGCAAGAATCAAGAATTCACCTGGTTCCTTACCGGTGTCTATGCTCCTAACAATAGAAAAGAAAGAGAAGAAGTCTGGTGGGAGGTTGGATCAGCGAGTGGGCAATGGGCCCTGGGTGGTTTATGGAGACTTTAACACAGTCCGATTTCCTTCGGAGAAGAAGAACTGCGGCAGAATATCAAAAACAATGAATGATTTTTCTGAATTCATTATGGACTTGAATCTGTTGGATCCTCAACTAGAAGGTGGTAAATATACTTGGAGGAAAGGGGACAAGCATGATGTTGCGGCTAGATTAGACAGATTCCTAGTGTCTAATGAATGGGATGAAGGCTCCAAAAACATTAAGCAATCAGTTCTACCAAAAGTAGCATCTGATCGCACTCCGATTATGTCGCAATGTGGAAACTGGGAGCCTGCGAAATCTTATTTCAAATTCGAAAATTGGTGTTTACACACAGAGGGTTTCTTGGAAAGGGTCAAGGAGTGGTGGACTTCCATAACATGTGAATGAAGACCAGATTTTATTCTAGCTTTCAAACTAAAGGCTTTAAAAAACAAACTCAGGGACTTTAGCAAGCTGGTCAGGGCAATCTAGCCTTGCAAAAACAGAGTATACTCGGTCAACTTGCTGAACTTGAGGAAACGCAGGACCAGAGAATTCTCAATGAGGAGGAGATACACTCAAATGTTGAACTTCTCCTAGAGTTTGAGAACATTGCCAAGTATGAGGAGATATCATGGAGACAAAGGTCAAGGGTTAATTGGTTGAAGCAAGGTGACAATAACACTAAATTCTTCCATAGAACTGCCAATGCACACAAAAGGTACAACTCTATTGATGAGTTAAATGTGAATGGGGAAGCAGTCAAGAGTCCAGAAGTTATAAAGAAAGCGATAGTGGATTTCTATCGGGAACTGTACACTAAAATCGAGACCTGGAGACCTTTAGGCAATTGCAGGGGAGGACACATAATTTCTGAAGAAGATAATATTATGCTTCAAAAGGAATTTGAGGACCAAGAGATATGAGAGAGTGTAAAGCTTTGTGCCGGAGACAAGGCACCTGGGCTTGATGGTTATACCATGGCTTTCTTTACTCACTGTTGGGAAGTCATAGGAGGAGAAGTTATTAATGTTGTTAAGAACTTCCATGAGAGATGTGTTTTTGAGAAAAGCTTCAACTCAACTTATGTTGCCTTGATTCCCAAAACGATAGGTATAAGGAACTTATTGACTTCAGACCAATCAGCCTAATTGGTAGTGTTTACAAGACCATTTCTAAGCTTCTTACTGAGAGACTCAAAGAGGTAATGCATAAACTAGTGGACACTCAACAATTGGCCTTCATTAAAGGTAGGCAAATAATGGATGCCATCCTCATGGCAAACGAGTGTGTGGATTCTAGGACTAGAAGCAATGCTCCAGGAATTCTCTGCAAGCTGGACATACAGAAGGCATATGATCACCTAAATTGGCAGTTTTGTGGGAAACTCTTGATAAAAGAGGTTTTGGTGGTAGATGGCTAAGATGGATGAAATTCTGCATTCAAACTGTCAAATACTCAATTCAATGGCTCCCCTACAGGCTTTTTCTCTGCTCAAAGAGGCCTAAGGCAAGGTGACCCTCTATCACCATTTCTATTCATCATTGCAATGGAAGGGCTAAGTGATATGCTGAAAACTGCTCGAGAGAACCTTTGGTTAAAGGGATTCAAAATATCAAACTGAGTGGGATGCAAACTGGAGATCACCCATTTACAATACGCAGATGATACTCTCATATTTTGTGATGCCAATAATGAACAACTCAGGATGCTGAGGGTGATTTTTATTCTCTTTGAAGCTGTATCAGGACTTCATATAAATTGGAACAAGAGCTTCTTATATCCAGTTAATGTAGTTCCTGACCTATCCTCTCTAGCTAGGACTCTTGGTGGAAGAATTGGTGACCTCCCTACGACTTATCTAGGGATGCCTCTGGGAGCTAACAATAGGAGTTTAGGTATTTGGAATGGGGTGATTGAAAAGTGTGAAAGAAGATTAGTGAATTGGAAGAGCCAATATCTTTCCCTAGGGGGAAGACTAACACTTATTAATAGTGTCTTGAATTCTATGCCAAGTTATATGATGACCCTTTTCCCTATCCCTGATGGAGTAATTGATAGATTGGATGCTCTAAGAAGGAACTTCTATGGGAAGGCAACAGCGAGACAAAAAAATTTCACCTGGTTAAATGGGCATCCTTGATTGGGAATAAACAAGTTGGAGGTCTAGGGGTGAGAAACTTGAAGACTCAGAACCAATGTCTACTAATGAAATGGCTCTGGAGACTAGCCTCCAATGAACAAGCTTTGTGGAAGGAGGTGATTCAGGCAAAATATGAAAATGGAAGATCATTGGTCAACTAGCATGGTGACCAACACTTATGGAACTAGCCTTTGGAGAACCATAAGGAACCTATAGGCCAAACTTAGAGGGAATTGCAAAATCAAAATTGGAAATGGTGTGAAGGCCTCATTTTGGGAAGATAGTTGGCTGGAACAAGGTCCCTTAAAAACACTTTTCCCTGATGTGTTCATCCTCAACCAACAACAGAGGGCTACTGTGGCAGAGGTTTGGTCAAACCAAGGATGGAATCTGAGCTTTAGAAGACCTTTCAATGATTGGGAGATCCCAGAGAGTAGTAGAATTCTACAGAACTCTGGAACAGTTCAGAGGAGGAAACACTATCCAAGACTGTCTGGAATGGAAGGATCACAAACAAGGAAGATTCAGTGTCAAGGGGGCTTACAAAAAGTTCAATCCTTTCAATAGCCGAATTAATGGGTGGCCCTGGAAAATGATTTAGAAAGCCAAAATTCCCTACAAAGTGTCTTGTTTTACTTGGCTACTTGCTAAACAGGTTGTTTTGACTCAGGAAAATCTCATGAAGAGGGGTATCCAATTGAGCCCTAGATGTTTCCTAAGTAGGGAAAAGGCTGAGACTATGACTCACCTGTTTCTTCACTGTAGGATAACCAACCAGCTTTGGGACCTCTTCATCAATAAAAAAGGACTGAAGTGGGTGATGCCAAGGAGAGTAACTCAAACCCTGAAGCTATGGAGTAGTTAAGCCAACATCTCAGGACATAGGGAGAAATGGAAAATCATCCCAGCTTGTATTTGGTGGTCAACGTGGAAAGAAAGGAACCTTAGATGTCATCAGAACAAGAGCAACACTATTCTGAAGATGAAGATGAATTGTCTTGTGTTGTTTCACTTTTGGTGTAAACAGGAGTATATGGAAGATCTAGAATCAGTTATGAGTGTCTTAGGATCCCTGTAATTTTTGTCATAGGATTGGAGATTTTCTGTTATACTCTCTTGAATCTGTAACATGTAACATGTTGTGGCAGGTTTTGATTTTTTGGAAATAGAAACACAAATTGTTACCTTCTCAAAAAAAATAATCCATAGAAATATGGAACAATGTCATTGAGAAGTACGAGAAGAAACTAGCCAAGTGGAAGACACAATATTTATCCATGGGTGGAAGACTGACCCTGATCAACTCAGTACTTGATGCTTTACCAACCTATATGATGTCCCTCTTTCCTATTCCAAGAGGGGTCATCAAGAGGTTGGATAGCATCAAGAGAAAATTCTTGTGGCAGGGTAACAAGGAGAAAAAAAGCTTTCATTTGGTAAAATGGAAGGAGGTGATGACTGGAAAAAAGAATGGAGGGATGGGGATAAAGAATTTACAAATCCAAAGCAAGGCCCTAAATATGAAATGGTTATGGAAGTATTCAAATAATAACTAGTTGTTGTGGAGGAAGGTGATTGGAGCTAAATATGAGGAAGAGGACATCTGGATTACCAGAGAAGTGACCACTCCTTATGGAGTTAGCCTTTGGAGGTCCATCAGGAGTCTTTGGAATTAAGTTAAAAACAACTCAAAGATAAAAGTCTTGGATGGAAGGAAGACCAGATTTTGGAAAGATAACTGACATGAGAGTGGTAACATGGAAATACTTTTCCCAGACATTTACAACCTAGTTCTGTCCCAACAGAGTACCATAGCAGAGCTATGGTCCCCATAGGGATGGAATTTCATTTTCAAAAGACATCTGAATGACTGGGAGATCATGAGAGTTGCTGAATTTTCAACTTGGTGGACACTTTCAATGGTTTGCAGACTGGTGAGGATGTTCTATGGTGGACAGGTGATGGCAGGGGAGTGTTCAAAGTCAACAAAGCCTACAAGATGATGGACCAAACAAACCAGCAGGGTACAAAATGGCCTTGGAAACAAATATGGAAAAGTAGGATACAACACAAAGTTTCATGCTTTGTCTGGTTAATGGCTAAGAAAACAGTCCTTACTCAGGACAATGTCATGAAGAGGGGGATAACCTTGTGCTCCAGATGTTTCCTATGCGGTGAAACAAATGAGACTGTCAACCATCTATTTTTACATTGCAGGTACACCCGACAATTGTGGAGAATTTTTATCAGCCTGAAAGGCATTCCCTGGACCATGCCTAGGGAAGTGACTGGGGCCTTAATGAGTTGGGAGGGAGAAGGGGTACATGCAAAAGACAAAAGTAGATGGAGAATTATCCCTAGTGCTATATGGTGGGCTATCTGGAAAGAGGGGAATTCAAGATGTTTTGAGAGCTTAGTGAACAGTGTGCAGAAAGTTAAACTTAACTGCATTCTTTTACTAGTTTTTTGGTGTAACCAGTTATACTCAAATGACACTATCTCTATTATTGATATCCTAGACTCAATCTAGTCGTAGAGAAGTGAAATTGGGAGTACATTTGTATATAAGGTTTCAATACAACCCATGTATTGTTTTGTGATATAATACAAGTTACCAAGTTCAAAAAAAAATACTAGACCCATGGTACCCAGGGATATGAAAGAACTATGAAATTAGGACATACTTTACTACAGCAACCCGAAAAAGAACACCAAGAATTGGTAATCAAACTTTTCAATATTATATATATATATATATATATCAACAGTTTCATCACTAGAAAAAGAATTTGTAAACAGCTTTCTATCAGACATGGAACAACTTGTTCTCTGAAAAAAAGATTGTCATCCAGTGTTCCAAAGCTGTCAAATGCATGTTCAAGGTAAGCCTGAATCTAGGTAATTTAGCCACTTGCCTTTAGGATGTAATCTCGACCAGCATTGTACCCTTTAGAATATCATATATATCCAAGCATCTAATAGTACTCAGATCAAGAATGTACATACTATCATGACCCCAACACAAAGGAGAGACGCCATGTCAATTGGTAAGTTTACCTTTCCAACAATTCATGCTGAAGTTTCAAATAAGATAGACAAAGCATATGTATTAAATCAAGAAAATACATACAGCATTACCCCTCATCCCTGCGCTAACATATTGAATAAAATTATACTATTGTAATAAATCCTCAAGATCAACAGAAATTCACCCTATAGAGTAGAACATACTTGGCCTTGCCGATGATGGTGAAGTCGAGCTCTCAACATCCTTAATATTGTCTCAGAAGCAAGTTGAAGGGGCATATCTGGTGACAATCTCTGCAAAGTGAACCTCAAACTCAGAATGAGTAACATTGACATCGTTAGTGACTTTGTGCAAAGTAACTTGAGCCAAATAGATGTTATTTGCCTTCTCATCATCTCTGATTCCCTTAAAACAGCATGAAAAAAATCCCAAGCAAATATAGCATTGTCTAGTTATCTAAAATGATTTAGTCGAGTAACCTGAACACTTGGCAAATGAAACTATGAAGATCCAACCATTGATTCCCCCCCTCCAAGTAATTTATAAAAGGTAACCTGAATATAATTAGACCTATCAAGTCATCAGACAATTCTTTTTTTCAGCCCTTGAAAATTTAAAATCACCATAAACAAAACTCAGACTTCATCTTTCACAATAGAAAGGCAATTCTAAAAGTCGATATCCAAAAATGGTATCACTATGTTACAAGATGCATGATTAGATGTTAGGAACGAAGTAAGAGGACTACTTCTAATCTGTAACACACTACGTGACTACATATGCACCAATAGCTAAAATTAGGACAAGAAAACTTAATTTCCCAATGAAAAAAAATATACTCCAATCTTCAAGATTTAAAGAACAGGTTCCCTGTTTTGACTAGTGACAACCAAATATTTCACACTGTTAATAACAAAGACCACAGAGATCCAAAGTTTTCAAGAGTAAAAGATTGAACATCAAAATTTCTACTTTAAGGTACGATGAGATGTTTTTCCTTCTAATAAATTTCAAGGATGACTTTATTTCTCTTCTACCATATTTTACTTTATAACTTCGGAGATAGATTCTCATACTATAAATGTAGTGCGAAAATCAATCAATTTTTTTATCTTCCAGCCCAATCAACCAGGTTACTTAACATGATATGGTGGATAAACAAATACTCACTCCGTCCAAATTTATGTAGCACCATTTGACTTGGCATAATGTTTAAGAAAGAAAGGAAGACTTTTGTAATTAGTGTGGCTATGCACCATTTCATTAAGGGAAGTTTCAAAGTTAAGTTGTTTCTACTTAAATCATAAAAATAGTATTTCGTGTTAAAATGGAACAGAAAAAATGGAGTTCAAGGGTTAAAATGGAACAAGGCTAAGTTGGAGTGCCAAAATGAAAAATGGGGCCAAGTTTGAGGGGCTGTGTATGTGTTTGGCCAAATAAATTTATAATCACATCATTACTTTTTAAAATTTATTATTCTTACCACTATAAAATTTATTATTACTTTAAATTTGGTGAATATAAATGATAAAGTAGAAATTCATTTGGTGAATATAAATAAGAACGAAGGGAGTAATACTTTTTTGATTTTTCATAATAAAAAAAACGTCTTAATCTTATGACTAAGCATAATATTGATAAAAGACAATTTTCATTGGCGGTGCCGCACTTTCTTAATCTTAGTATTCGCAAAATGTTTGGTCACATGATTGAAGAATATCAAGTCCAATTGATTGAGGACTTCGAAAATTTTGATCAATTAGTTATTAATATTTAGTCAAGTGGACTAGTTATAATTTTTTTGATTAAATTTTATTAGAAGTGTTTTTGACTCAAACTTGTGGTAACTTTTTAAAATTTCGTTATTCAATAATATTTAACTATTGATTTTTCTTGTAAATAGTTAGAAGTCAGTGATGTTTGTTAATTTTTATCTTAGTGTATTTAACTTCTAAGTTAATATTTACTCACTAATGTATGTCTCTTTTCTACTTTATAGGTTATTTGTAAGAGTAGTTGAGAGATATGAGCATATCAAGTACAATTTATGTTCAATTTTTTTAATTAAATTAAAGTTAGATGAAACAATTACTTAAGTGAAGAACAAATAACTTTGTAATAATTTATTATGCGATTTTATAATTTTTGTTTATTTGATAAGATTGAATAAACAATTGGGGCTATTTTAATAGTTTTACAACTTATGGGATTTTTATATTTATGAGAAAATATACAACACAAAAATTTCTATATCGCATGTCCAAACAAACCTTCAATTTCATCTCATGATTCCATATCATGATACCATATCATGATTCCATATCATGATACCATATCGCATGGCCAAACGGGCCCTTAAAGAAAGGTGTCATTCTTTTCTAGATGGACTAAAACGAAAAGTGTGTGACATAAATTGGGACAGAGGGAGGATTTGTTTTGATAAGGCACAATTTATAGAGGTTTTGGGATAATGGAACCCTGCAAACAAGTAGTACACCAAAAAATAGAGAAGCTACACAAAAATATTGTTTTCTACAAAAAACACCCATCGACACCAAAAAATAGAGAAGCTACACAAAAATATCGTTTTCTACAAAAGGCGTTCATCGTTTATACAAATAGGGATCTTGTAGGTGAACAAAAAAAGTAGAAACAAAAGAGATGTCTAAAATCTGTGCACATATTCCACCCCTTTGAATGCTCTTCGGTTCCTTTCCCTCCAAACCACCAACAGAATAAGGGGAAACTACCCTCCATAAGAGGATAAAATATTCAGCAACAAATAAAATGTAGCTACTTCTTTTCCAAGCTTGCTTCACATTTCCCCTCCTCACTGACCATTTTTTCCAAGAAATTTCAAAGGACCACCTGGCACATGATTCTAAATTCAGTAAATTATGGATCCCCTCAACCCTTTCCACTTAAATACCAGACTTTTGTTTGCTCTGTTGTTTTAACTTGTAATATGTATCTAACCAGCACATCACACGTAGTCTTGCCACTAGACCAAAGCCCTGGGGGTAGAACAAGGCTTTTGTCTTCTCATTGACCATTGCACGAGTAATAGAGCAGAAGAAGGATAAGTTTTAGTACCTCCAAAACTTGCAAAGGGTCTAGCATTTCTCCATGATTGTGCAACAGGCGCACAGCAGCTTTGAACATAGGCTCTTTGCCATTCATTGGCTCCAAATACATTTCAAGCAGCCTAAGAAGAGACAAGGTAAGGGAAAGGCTAAGAGAACTTCTACTAAACCAATAAGCTAAAGAAACAAATGAGAGAATACTGTACTAACTGCATGTAAGCATCTGGCCTACCGATCTCAGCACAATATTGTTCTGCAGCTTCACAGTCTTCCAACTTCCTGCCAGATGAACACAACTTTAAATTACAATCCCACAGATAGTCATCTTATTCAGAGTAATTGCAGATTCAATTATGAAATACATATTTAGCAACAATGCGGGTGCTAAGATTTCAAATATTTTCGCCTGTTTAAGTGAGGGACTTCACATGTAAAGCAGCAGAAGAGTATGTCAACCATGCATTGCCCACATTTGGAAAACAGAACATCTTTTAAGTTGTTCATTTGTTATGATAAAGCTTGTTGTGATGTACCCAAGCAATAACCAAATATTTATGAACTTACAAGGTAAGAATTTGAAGCACTAATGTTTCTTGACCGAGCTTCCTGTAAAGAATAGCCTGTAATGAAACCATCAATAACACAAGGACTGCAAATCACAAGGAGAATAAGACAGTTCAAGCTGTTGTCCAGCAGAGATGCATAGGCCATTATTTCTATGAAGGGCCTAAATTTTTTACTGACCTTCTCGAGCCATAACTCGGATCCTTCAACCAAGTCAAGAACCTCCTCTGGATCATACAAGTCAGACGACTGTAAAAAAAATTGCAATCTCTCTCTGACATGAGTATCAAATATTGAGTTGTTCCCACGGTCTGAGATATTTATCTCCTTTTGGTTTACACCTCCAGGATTTTGTGTAACATGCTCCTTTTCAATAGCATCAAGTGCTGATTTAGAAAGCGAGAGGGCATAAGTTGTATGAAACCGTGTGTCACCGGAATCTTGATCTTCAATTAACCACTGGAGATATCTGCATGGTAAAGCTTCAGTTTATAATTCAAAGAAACATATAGACAGTTAAATGCCTCATTAATATAGAGATACATCTTTATAAGATAATATTACCCAACCAATTAGGCACCCAAGGACACCAATGTTATGGAAAAAAATATATATATCGGACAAATTAAGATAAAAGGAAAGAAATTTGGCATGCTACATGCTACTTGCTTTATTCAGCTCCTATCAGGCTAAGAGTGACGGAATGCAATTTTCGGATATTCTACCAGCTAGTTTGTGTTGGTACTTGCAAATTTTCAGATCATCTTATGTGACATCATAGATAATTGATGAAAGGAATGATTTTGAAGAAATAGGCTTGACTAAAACGATCTAGAAGTTTATGAAGCAACTTGATGAAGAAGCCAACAGATGATCAAGACATATTCATTAAAGGACATACTAGGTCAAACAATAAAACCATAAATTTAGTGCATTTATGTGTCACCTTATGATTTACTCGAAGGCCGTATTTTACTCGACAACTGCCTAAGTCACACTACAGAGAACCTTCTAAGAAAATTTCCAAGTTTTAGTAAGTTCAATTTCAAAATATAATAAAGTACTTTCTCTTTTTTTCAAAAAGAAAAAGTATTTAACCATAAAACCTTTTTCCAGTACTAGAATAGTTTTATGGTCTTGGTGCTTCAATGTAAACTGTAAGACCATTGATCTACTAAAAGATTCGGCTTTCTAATGGATTTGCCAAGTAAGATAAAGCAAGTAAGTTATAAGACTAAAAGAAAGTACACTTGGTCACAGTTTGAAAACAGAGTGCAGACTAGAACAAAGATAATGTCAAGCACTGACTAGACTCTTAAGGTGGCAAATCCAGCTTTTAATCTTCTGCAGCCCCTTGCAGATTAATTTTCATCTTCTCCTTCATTTCAACCACAAACACAAACCATCATCACCAAATTCTCAATCAGACTGTTCTCAGTTCAGGTCTACAATATGCATTTGATATCAGAACAAGAGGGCAGGACCAAAACAAGCTGCTTATCATTCGCAATGTGATACAGTGCTCAGTAGCTCAAAAGACTTGTGGAGAGGAGGAAGAAAAGGAAGAATTACACTTTTCTTTATGGAAGTAAGCAATCTCCAAAATGGAGGCAAAGACTTGGACCAGAGTACAATCAAAAGTTGCATACAGATGTTACACTAGCCACCAATCTTCACTTCAGGAGAGAGATAGCAATAGGTTTTCAACCAGATTAATTTTCATTTTCAGGAGAGAGATAGCAATAGACTCTTAAGGTGGCAAATCCAACTTTTTATCTTCTGCAGCTCCTTCCAGATTAATTTTCATCTTCTCCTTCATTTCAACCACAAACACAAACCATCATCACCAGATTCTCAATCAGAATGTTCTCAGTTCAGGTCTACAATATGCATTTGATATCAGAACAAGAGGGCAGCAGGGCAGGACCAAAACGAGCTGCTTATCATTCGCAATGTGATACAGCGCTCGGCAGGGGCGGCTGGTAAGGCTTAACAAAAAGTCTTTTGCCTTAGGCCCCCAATTTTAGGGGGCCCCATTTTTTAGTTAATTAGATAGGATTAAATTTAAAAAAAAATATTAGAACTAAGACAATAAATGCAAAGGCCCCATTTTTTAGTTAATTAGGAAGGATTAAATTAAAAAAATAAATTGTTATAACAAATACA